CCAATAGTGAGCGACATTGTACAAAATCACTGCAAGTGATAACCTCCCTGTTCAGTGACTGTACATATGAAACACTGTGCTATAGTAGAAGAGGAAGATTCTCTAGTGTTTATTGTAGCACATGGCTCCCCGCCTTACCAATTCAACCTCTTGTATGGGGGAGTTTTTCCTCTTGATAAAACTTATGGGGAAATAGAATTGAAAAACTTCTGTACTTTAGCAATACTGGCCCATAAATTGGGAAGGAGAATGTCGCTATCCGTTCAGGTATTTTATCACAAGAACAACGCTGCTGCAAATTTTGTTGTCACAAAAAATACACCGTCACTCATTCGAGCTGTCAAAAAAGAGTATTCTCGTCTGTTCCTGTACCAGCAAACCCTAACCATTGTGTGACTACACCACAAAAGCAATTACCCTCTCAATACCAGCGAATCCACAGGCTGGATGGACTATTGTACCGGATTTTGATCCTCCACAGATTTTAACGCGACTAATTCGAGAATACAGGGAGGGTAAAACACCACCAAGCATACAACTGAATGTGAAATGGACAGGGCAAGGGGAACCAAAGGAAGAGGAACTGAAAATAAGAGTTCATGGATGTATATTTACAACCTTCACCCTTTTCAGTAAGTATTTCATTCCGTCATCTATAGCAACTCAATTACAAAGCCAGCACCAACCACTAGGCCTTGGACTCCAGTCTACTGCTCCACTGTCACCACTGTCTTCGGTCTCTTCAAATGCCCCCTCTCCGCCTCGCACTCCAAGAGCATCCCCTGCACAACCAACAGCCAGCCTCAGTCTCACAATGTCAGTTGAGTCTAGGACTCTTCGACGAAGCAATACAGTGTTCACAAGAGGGGTAGACCCTGATAATCTGGTTACAGTTCTCTACAGTAACTTGCTGCTGACTCCCGAAGAAAAGGCCAGAGCCACACAACAGACGCTGACAATCCACCAAAAGTTGGAGGAGATTTTTCGGACGATGGAGCGACGCATTTCAGTAACCCCTGGAGACCTCCACGTATTGATTAAAGCTCTCAAGGCAGAACCTGCAACAAAGGCAGTCGGTGACAAAATTCAAGGTAAAGGCTATTGATGTCATAATACAACATCACACTGTCTTTGTTTTTGCAGAAATTTACGATGAGGAACATGGGAAAAGGCAGGAGTAAAACGAGAATAGCACATTATAATACATGTCTTTATTGTTCGTGAATTTTTTCGATGGTGCTTTGTGTTGTGCTAATTAACGAATAAGCGCATGGGCGCGCGTAAGTTTTGAGTGCGTTTACAGGGCTTGGCCGGGTGCGTTTACGCGGCTTTGGCGTCTCCGATCGCCCTTGAAGAAGATTCACTCACCATGGCAGGTAGACTGGCGAGATCTCTCCTCCAGAGAAGGTTCGGACAGCGGCTGCCAGTGAGACTGGCCAGTGGAGAGGCCTACGTACCTGAGAAGCCACCAGTGGAAGGTGAGCCTACTGTAGGTCATCTGAGAAGGTCATGGGACGGCGCGCCTCGCCTCCAAACGTCTGAGCGTGTATAGAGAGAAGTATAGACGTGAGTTAAGGGTAGGTGCTGCCAATGGTGGCCGGCGTTGGTAGCTGAGGCTCAAACCCCTCAATTCAGATGTAGTTCGTTGGGGGTTAGGCTCACTTGCTCTCTATATTTGTGCTGCACCCTAAACTATGAGCACTGGTTGTCTTTGTTTTTCTCAGCTCAGTCTGTTTATTGCAAGCAACTCCTCCTAGGTGTAGCTGCATGGTCACATATTGTGTGTAGCCTAACTGAGTCAGTAGACCAGTGCATTTACATGTATCCTGTATTCTGGATATTGGTGATCACTCCGACTACATTATGTGCGTAGGGGGTGTGGCAAAAATAACCGTTGGTGGGTGCAATACTTCAGAGTTTTTATCCGTCATTTTTGAAATTATGCAGGCATTGTATATATATACAGTGTATAGTTGGGTCCAGAGTTCAGTGCTACCCTCTTGTGGGGCAGTGTGTTATGGCAAGCTGTCCAACAGTGACAGTGCCCGTACAAGCCTCACTGGATCTAAATTACACATCATAGCAGTGTGTTTGTTACCTTGCGTGGTCGGGGACGGCGTGCTTTGTTTGGAATAATAATGTATCTGAAAATAATTTATTATTGTACCAGACTTTTAGCCAGTATAGTTAGTTTAGTATAGTTTAGTATTCATCTGCTACTACATTATTTACGCATTATGTCTAACCCTCTCCATCTCTTAGGGAAGACAGAGAACATGAAGTTGGTCCATGCCATAAACAATGCTCTTGACATTGCCATGGAGACTGACTCCACTGCAGGTCAGACACTGCCCACCAACTACAGCATATGATCGATGTATTGTTGCCCTTCTTTTAACCCCTGACACCCAGGCACACGCAAGTAGTGTCCATTTTGTTAGAAAGAAACACACCATTACGCGATAGCCCATACTGTTTTGTGCTATAGAAAAATGTTTTCATCCCAGTTCTGCGGCAATCTTTTATCAGCCAGGTGCTCTAGTGCTAGGAACGTGAATGGTGTTAGGAACATGTATGGTGGCAGTGTCTGCTAGCATTTTCGTTTCGTCTCGTGTCTCGACTTACACCATAATATGGTGTAAGTCAGAGGTAGTGTACACATGTTCCTCATTGTTCTCTCTCCTCCATGCAGCCATATTTGGGGAAGACGTGGGGTTTGGAGGAGTCTTCCGCTGCTCTGCTAATCTCAGAGATAAATATGGTCAGTGCACTCTATAGGACTGTTCAATTCACCCTATGTTCATGTATAGTACACAACTGGTTGTGAATCATGTTGTGGGTGTAGTTGCTTTCCTATTGCCTTTGCCTTGTACCTCACCGCGTTGTTGACACGTTTATTTTGTTGAGACTGAGGTTTACAGAATCTAAACTGTTCAAGCTGACGAATTACTTTTGTTTAGGTGTGTGTTTTTATTTGTGCAGATGTTTCTATACCTTCATGCTTTATTTGGTGCTGTATGTACATACTGTACATTTGCACACGCGTTTTTTGAATGTGGAAGGCACTGCACGTATTACACGTCATTTTTGATGAATGTGTGCATACAATAATTATCCTTCACTCCTTTACTTATGTATGTGCCTCACACTTTCATAGAAGTATAAATATGGGCCGGAACTGGTTGTTACATACTTGTTCTTCACCCGTTGCAGGCAGTAACAGAGTATTCAACACCCCGCTGTCAGAGCAAGGGATTGTGGGGTTTGGAATCGGTCTGGCCACTCAGGGCTCCACTGCCATAGCTGAGATTCAGTTTGCCGACTACATTCACCCAGCCTTCGATCAGGTGATTCACTTATATTGTACACAATGATATACAATACTGTAGATGCAAAGGTAGTCAGCATGAGGTCACAGTGCTCTTGAGGGATTTTTCGCTGGAAAGCGATTTACATGAAAAAACATGTTTATAGCATGCTAGCTCAGAGGAAAAGAAAGAACCTCCCCCACCCAAGCACACAAAACACAGACAATAACATATAAACAGAAAGAAAGCACATATGTACACACTTTGCTACAGTTGTGCATACTATTGTTATAAACCATGGAAGCTTCGCTCATATGTACTTGCAGTACACATACATAAAAGTTAAACTTCATGGTTGATCAAATAGGGGTAATTCTATAGTTTTGGAGATGCAAATGCACATTTCCTTGAGTTAGCACTACAATGTCTACACCTCGGTATGTTTGCCGTTTACATACCTGGATATTCATGACATCGATAATAATAATTATAGTGTGCAAAAACAAAACTTGTGTACTAATATAAGCTTCTCCACCCCCACCACTATGTATGTATGTACCTCTGGCACAGGTGGTAAATGAGGCGGCCAAGTACCGCTACCGTTCTGCCAGCCACTACCACTGTGGTCCGCTGACGGTCCGGGCCCCGTACGGTGCGGTGGGCCACGGTGGCCACTACCACTCCCAGAGTGTGGAGGGATTCTACGCCCACGTCCCCGGCATCAAGGTATGGGTACATACATACATACATACGTGTGTTTGAAATACACATTATGAGAGGGGCTTAGATATAGAAAGGGATTGTTGGTATCTGAGTGGATTCATGATGATGTAAGTGAAGGAATTAGTCATTCTCTCTGTGTACCCTACATAACACTGGGTGTGTAGGGAGAGTTGGGCCCATAAAAGACTCTTTAACCTACCGCCCCGGTTCTCAAGGCTGGGCACCCAGGGTCCTGCCTCTTTCTTTCTGTTTATATGTTATTGTCTGTGTTTTTGTGTGCTTGGGTATGTTATTGTCTGTGTTTTGTGTGCGAGGTTCTTTCTTTTCCTCTCATAATTATTCTTTTAGCTAGTATGCTATTTTCATGAAAAATATCATGGTTCACTTAGTTTGCATAGTTGTGGTGCCCTCCATTATGCAAAGCATGTACAATATGCAGTGGATCTTCAGTAAAAATCACACACGAACATAGTCATGTGATAGTAAAAGCACATCATACAGTACAGTTTTGTATGTACATGTACAATACAGGTCACGTGACGAAAGAGTCATGTCATTGTTGTTTCTGTGTATATATGACAGGTGGTGATTCCTCGTGGACCGAGTCAGGCCAAGGGTCTCCTCCTGGCCTCCATACGGGACCAAAACCCAGTCTTCTTCTTTGAGCCCAAGTGGCTCTACCAGGCAGCCGGTGAGAGACACACACAACTTGCACCTTTATGTGTACATGCATGCAGTATACACCAGTGTGTATTTTGTGCAGTAGTATGTATGTGTTTGTGGGTGGTTGCGGGTGGGTGGGTGTGGGGGGGCAGTGTTTTAGTTGTTTTTACTTTCTTAAAACCTTCAGTCATTGTGCTAGACACATGGAGTTTCATGTCTTGTCCTTCAGTCTCATTCTTACAGCCCTTTAGATACCAATAGAGCAGTAAAAGCTGCACATCTCACCTACATAGTGTGTGTATTATGATGTTACTGTGCTATTGTAGCCGAGGAGGTGCCAGTGGCTGACTATGAACTCCCTCTATCAAAGGCTGAGATACTTCAGTCAGGTTAGTCCTCCATTGCTCTGGTCTTCGGCCGAAACCCATGTGTGCGGGCGATCTGGTGCTCGTCGTAGACCCCGCATCTGGGTCCGCCTTCGGGTCGATCGATGCCCCTCACTGTCTCATTGCTATTTCTAACATTAAAGCTCCCTACTGCTAATCAAAACTGTCTGAAAGAATGTCGTTAACTGTGACTTGTGCTCTGTTCCATGACCGGGACTACATAATTCCCACATGTTTTTTGTAACGTTCAGCACCATTCTTATTGTGAACTATCCCTCTTGATCTCTCTCTCTCTCTCTCTCTCTCTGCAGGTAGTGATGTGACGGTGCTGGGCTATGGGTCTCAGATACAGATCCTGAGACAGGCGTGTGAGATGGCCCAGTCAGAGTTGGGAGTCTCCTGTGAGCTCATTGACCTCCGCACCATCCTACCCTGGGATGAGGACACCGTCATTCAGGTTAGTGCAACCTTATTCACTCTTAGTTTAAAGTTTTAGGAAGAGCATTTTTAGCAGTTAACAGAGTGCCACGCCTGTTTACAATGTGCACATGTAGTACAAAGGTGTTAAGTTGCTCTCACAAAAGACTAATGCTATTCATGCACAGTCTTCAGAATAGTAGCTACGGTTCTAAATGTTCGGATACTAAAGGCAGCAAAAATGTACCGTTAGTTCATGTGGCATTGCTCAGTAAGGCACTCAATGGTAGACTTTGTAGTGCTGTGTGGAGTGTGCAATGGATTGTGCTCTCTCTCTCTCTGCAGTCTGTGTGTAAGACTGGGAGACTGGTAGTATCTCATGAGGCTCCACTAACTGCTGGCTTCGGAGCCGAGCTAGCGGCCACTGTTCAGGTACACACCAACCTTTAACCATTTTGTTTGTGCACTACATACTCAAGAATACAGTGGAAAATCTGAATTTAAACGATTTACACGTCAACCCTCTCGATGCGTGATCTAGCAGCAAGAGAACTGTTGTCTGTTCGGCGCGTTTGCTGCATTCGCAAAAATGCCCTGCGTTCACCTACTAGTAATTGGCGAGTGGGAGCGAGCCAAACCTAGTTGTTCGTTTCGAGTGGATTTTCATCGTCTGTTCGTACTTCGTGTAAGTGCACATGCACGGCTTCGTTTACGTGATTCTGAATACGCAAACCGGTATGAAATTTCGCAATCGTCTGTATTATTATACGCTTACACACGCCGCGTGGTTAGCCAGCCTGATCGATCACTGCCTTAGCCTACTGCCATGCCAGCTGCCTGGTGGACCACGACAGACGAGTTGAAAGCGTAGGTAAGTACCGTTCTGCTCACCTGCTCACCGTTTCTGGCAATATACAGTACGCATGTAACGGCGACATCTGTATTCTTACACGAAAGGAAAGCTGTACGCTGACGGCAACGTTATGCAGCCTGAACATCGCAGGCAAATCCCAAGTTGGGTCGCTCCGCTCGCCAACAAGGTTCAACATTCTTCTAGTATTCTTTTCTCTCTGTCACAGGCGGAGTGTTTCAACCACCTGGAGGCCCCCATTCAGAGAGTGTGTGGCTGGGACACTCCGTTCCCGCTCATCTTTGAGCCTTTCTACATACCCAACAAAGTCAGGTGTTTCGACGCCATCAGAACTGTTGTGGACTATTGATGTCTGTTGCTGTTTGAAACATACATAAAATGAGTTTTTGCCACTTGCAGCAAACTTAACCTGGGTACGCATGTAGCCCACGCACTGTCTGCACATAAAAAAATTTGCGATGTGTAATGCAATGCACAATTTTGGAAGCAGCGTGCAATACCGACTTGCAGAAGTCGGCACATTTTGAAACGTTTTCACTCTGTATTGCAGCTCTAAATAATACACACCATCACAAATGTTGGTAGCATTCCTAAGAACACATTTGGCAGCGCCGTAAAGAATAATTACGTGGACTGGGCGGGGAAACAGATGACATGAGAGGTCCTGCTGCTTCTTATAGGGCCTCTTTCAACGTAAGTTCACTTGATCGTTCAAGTTTTGCCAATCCCTTTCCATACGCAAAAACCAGGGATAAGCAGTAACACCAATTTCATTATTTTCTCACGACCACAACATACACGGCTTCCAAAACTAATTTTGTACAAAGGTCATCGAAATAATAATACTATTTGCCCATATATAATTTGGATAAATTAGTTGAGTAAGTCTTCAGAATGCTTCACTTGAGGGATGCGATTTCAACAGTAGCTGTGAATCCATTTGGTGTCTTTCCCCCACATATCATCAGCTTGTTGTTGGGGAGGATTGTTGCCATTGAATGACATCGCTTCACCATCATTTTGCTAATTACATTCCATGAGTTCGTTATTGCATTGAACTGTCTCACGGTGGGCGTAATGCTGGCATCGTCTTTAGCGTTTTCGCAACCTCCAACCACCAGTAGCTGGCCGTGAAAGGTCACCAAGGTTGGAAAGAATAGTGGAAGTGGAGCAATTTCTTTCCAGACGGACCACTATTTGAATGTGGTTGTGGGTAGAGGAGATCATTCACGTAACACATTAGCACCGAGTCGGTGTGTCCCGTGTTAAGTCCTCCAGATGCGAATCCGCCACCAATGTACAGTCTCTCCCCACAGATGGTGGTTGTGGCTTGCCAGAAAGGATGAGGTAGACTGGCAACTGTGGACCACTGTAATGTCTGAGTGTCCAGTTTACTCCACCGCCTCTTTCCTCTGAACCCGCATCCTCAACGGCCACTATATGACGTGAAGTGTTTGTTTGGAAGCAACTGTATATGCGAGGGTACTATTTCATGGGTGAGAAGATGTTCTGTCACTTTGGTCTTGCTGAAGACTAAGTAAAGTGTGTGGCTCTCCTAAATGATTGCCTCCAATGATTGTTGGTTGTTGTTAGACTACTGACTATGGAGAAGTCTTCTTGGACATTCGGGAAGACCTGCCCATGCTTGGTCGCCTGAATTGTAATGGCAGCATCTTTTGTATTACTGCATGCATCGCAGAGAAGAGGACATCAAATCTCCACACACGTGCAACTGAAGATCCGCATGTGCAAAAGGAGCTTGCCATCTCTCCATTTCAGTTCAGAGATCTCGCTAGCTGCCGCTATTGGCTTCACGTCATTCACTTTCTGCTTTCGGCAGACTTGTGGGGACTGGATTCAGCTGCCCTGTTCCTACACTAGTGCATCCTTTAGCCACACTTCCCATTGGCAGCGACCCTGCAGCAACACCACTGTTTGGTTTAGTAGGTTCTTCCTTGGGAGATCTATAGCTAGCGGCAATGCCAGTTTTTTCCTTTGCTATTACTGCGGGCAAACCAGTACTTGCATTTAACTGTCCTGTAGCTACAAAACTTTCTCCTTTCTGAGGAGATGTGGTGATATTCACGGCCATCGGAGCCACTTCGCTTTCATCCTTTATCTTTCGTTGCAGATCTTGCATCTCTGCATCCTTTGCCTGCAGTTTCCTATCCTTTGCCTGAAGAGCTGCATCTTTCATCTCCACACTATTTTGCAGAGCATTCACTACCTGTTCATTTTCTTGAGTGCACACTGGAAGTCTTTCGTTAAGGTTTCTTTTTGTTGTTTCAACTCCCAAATCTCTTTTTTCTTTTCGTTTAACTGTTGTTTTAGCTGCTGCTTCTCGATATCAAGCTCATGTACTTGCAGCTCGTGTGCCTGTTTTTCCAAGGCCTCGATTGTGTCCCTCATTTTGTGCTCTTGCTCCTGGTCCACCGCACTAAGTGCCTGACTGTGTTCTTTTTCGGTCCTCTCCTCATTTCTCGTCTTCTTCTCTGTTCGATACTGTCGTGGTAGGCAGCGCTCTTCTTCAGATCAATCGTACGGTCACAGAGCTGTTCTGCTGTTGGTCGCTGATCATCCTTGTCTTTGATATAGTCGAGGGCTACTTCAAGCAGAGGGTGCGTAGGAGAAATGAGATCAATGTGCTGCTTTCGACGCTCCATCTCGGGGATCTCTACACGAGCTCGGCCTAGTGGGAAACGAGAATCGTCATGTACTTCCACGGAAATTGTTTGAGGACCGGGATCAGGAAACTTGCGAGTGATGAGCTGAACAAAGAGAATGCCACAGGAGAAAATGTCCAGTTTGTTGGTGTATGAGGGTGGTTGGCCCATGCTCGGGAGCCACTCTATAGCACATTCCAGGCAGTAGGTGTGAGTGTGGCGATTATCCAGTGTGCCGAAGATCGCCCATACCAAAGTCGGTGACCTTGGCTCGCCTGATTACCGATCAGAGCTAGATACATGTACTGCTAAGATCGCGGTGCAATACTGCCATACTGGTTATGGAGGTGGGAGAGAGAGCTGTGTCACATGTGGCCAATGGCCCACTTGCACATGTAGAGGGGAGAGGAAGAGGGTGTGGTGCGACCCGCTCCAGGTAGCTAGTGAGACTCTCATCCATAGCTCCATGAACAGGATGGGTGCCCAGACTCAGGGTTCTGCACATGAGCCAAGTACTCGGATGACGTTGGGATGCGCAACCCGTTCAGGAAATCAATCTCTTGCTGGAACGCTCTATCGATTCAGTGAGAAGAAGGATCCCTGGTCCGGCATAAGATTGGATGGATAACTTGGCGGCGTCAACCACGCAGTTGGTTACCACTTGGCCTCCTGTAGAATCGGCTCATAAGATCCGTCCCGTGATTTAATAAGTTCGACGTTACTGACATCCATATCTACGCATGGATGTGTATAGGCTGAGCCAGTAGATTGTCACTATATGATTATATGTCAAGTCTCGACTAAGAAATTGTTCTGACTAGCAGTCTGGCTACCTAACTACTAACACCAAATACTTTCTTGTGTACTACTGCTATCCACTGAGGATTAGATCAGGCAATGGCGACGTGTGTGACTTCAAAAAGTATGAACATGCAGTGTGGTCACCTGATTATGCTGAGTTGTTATCTATTGTGTAGGCGGAGCTACCAACACGTTTGTGCGCTCAGCAATGTTATCAGGTCTGTATTGCATGAAAAAACTGCTCTTCTCATATACACAAAACGGGGTGACATGCTAAGCAATTATAGTGTGAGCAGATACTACCCAGACTGGAATGCCATGCATCATGCAATCATAAATATCTTCCGCTGTATAAACTCTAGCATAGTACTTCTAATCGTGCTCGCGCATGTCCAGTGCGACAAACAGCTGGTTGACGGCTCACTTACATTGACAAGATGGCATATTTGGTGTTAGATATAGGAGTTATATACAGAACTTCAGATGGTGTGCTAACGTGCAATACTTTGTCATGGTATTAGCTATATCAATGTCCACGTAGGTGTGGGACTGCTGACAACTCCGTTCACCTGCAGTAACTGGTGAAGGGAGGAGGAGGTATAACTACCTGTCTGAAATAGCTTGCACCCTTAAGTGTGATATCCTCATGGTTACTGTTAGCTGTAAAACTTGTGTAGGTTATAAAGGGCGAAGCCCCGGAAGGGGGCACCCCTTCCGACCACTTCCGCGGGACTGGACGACGGCGGCAGAGGCTTCTGACCGCGCAGTCTTCGGGAGTGGCGCAGAGCATCTCTGAGGCAGGGGCTCAGGAGTAGCCATGGCGCAACGGTTGTAGTATAGACAGAGCGGTGTGATATAAAAATCTAATACTTCCCTAGTACTTTCGGTGACGGATGACCTTCTTCAGGGAGTGACTTGTTTTTCATTGGAGCTACACTAAACTATGCAATTTATCAAAGGTGTTCTTTCAGAATTCCTGTCTTTTAATTATCCACTTTTTGAGGCATTGTTTTCCCCACAGTTGCAGTTAGAAGTCAAAATTATGACTCTAGTTTTCTTCTCTAAAGAAGTATAGCGTGAAACACAAGCGGAATAACTAATGTTTAGCTACATCCGCTAGGTGTTGCCTGTTAAGCACACCATAGAGGTACATTTTATTTAATGTTCTCGGACAAGGAATACCGACATTTTAGTATAGCCCTTAAGTGCTACTAAAATGCAGCTATCAGAAACTGAATCATGTTAGGCTGTGCTGGCACGGTTGGTGCAGCCAATCAATTAATGGGGTTGGGGGTGCTTCCTTCAGATTATTACTATGCCATGTGCATGCACATTTTTTGCTAGGGACGAGGTTTCATTCCCCAGTGACTATCACATAGCTCAAAACTGCTCAACTGCAATAACTAGGAATGGTGTGTTTGCCACGGAATAGATCACACCCTTTTGTGCTGTATCCTCATGCATGATTATTTTATTGTATTTGTGTCTCTAAAACGCTTGGTACATTCGGAGCATTTTTGTGTGCAGGTAATAATATCAGATGGGGAACCTGTGGGTTTTTATGTAGCTAAAGTAAAGTTGGGCCACGGCGGGCAGGGAGAAGCAGAGGGATTATAGCTGTTCTCAGACGTAAGCACGCTGCCCTACCTTGGGAGAGGAAGTCAAGCGTCAACATGAATGTCTAAATAACCTGGGGAGCATCTTGTAATTCAATCCCTGCCGACACGGCCCCCCAACCAACATTAATATAGCTACAGAAAAAAAAAACCCAAACATTGACCTTACGTAAGTAATGTCACACATCTCCGAAAGTACTAGGGAAGAATTGCTTTTTTTCAAAACAACTGACTTGTGATGAAACTAAACTCTATCTTGAATGGCTATCACTGTGCCCCTTTGTGAAAGAGGGACTATACGCTGATCTTGGAGACTGTGAGTT